TCACTCTAATGTTAATACTTTGATATTTCATCATACAATGCTATCGTTCAGCTCTTATAATAATATAAGAGCTGAAAGTTTTTTTTTTGTATTCACCGGCATGTTAGCTGTTCATGAATCAGTCATCTTTACAAGAACAGACACAGCCCTGAAATATGATCAGTGACAGCTTATCTCCCATAGCTCCAGTTCTCTGCATACTATGAGGTCTATGAATGGAGAATAATGTCTGTGTCAACCTCACAGTCTCTGCTCAAGTATCCAGTCCACAGTTTGACCAGAGGGATGTAGGAGGGAGGAACACCTGGTCAGCCCCTCTATAACAAGCTGTCATAGAACCTAATGAGCTCCCTGATTATCTTCCCTAGGGAGTATGTAAAACATACGTACTCTGTAAAACAACCATTTCTATTTTTACCCCTGTGGACAAAAGCCACTTGATTTATAAATCTAAAGCTAAACTAGGTAATTGTCCTTGATGCAGGTCAGACATGCACAGGATACTCCAGAGTTTGATTTGGATATGTTAACCTCCTGACACATGAAACACAACCTTTTGGATGAAAATATCCTGTGTCTCAGATTCCCAGCTGCACTGCTCATCTCCATTGAGGATGGATGACCACTTGTCAATGATGCTAATGATATGCACCAGTTGAGATGTCTGCGCTGACAAGGGTCTCCTAAAGTGACCTCATAGCATGCGAGTAGCGGGGAGGTGTGCTTTTTTTTTACCTGCACCGCCACATCAGCGGCAATCAACCTCAAAGTTCTCTGCAGCCCGCCCACATTTGTGGTCTGATGTGAGGGTGATTAGTACTGACAAACCGAGGGAAACTGTAATACGTGGCATAAGCCAGGCTGTGTTTGTTTAGCCTCTGTACGGAGCTCAGGGCAAACAAGCAGGTTTTGCCGAATGATGGGTGGCATGTACTGTAAACTGTCTGCTTCCCTCCGGCTCTAGTCAGTATGTTTGTGTGTTCATGGCTCAAGTAGATTGGCAGGCTGGGACTGTTTACTCTGCTGCAATATTTAGGGTGTTTCTCCATCTTTGAGATAGATGAGGATGATTCCCCACATTTTCAGATGTGACGGTCAGTTCTCTAAACTTAAATTAAACCTTGCGGCCATAGCAACAGGCCATAGCAACAGATTCCCTATACGCACACTAGGAAGTCTCCACAGCAATGCATGGGTTTAGAAGAATAGCTAAACAGGGAAGGGAGTGTCCAGACACAGAGGTGTGAGCCGTGGCAGGGGGACCTGGCTGGATCTGTTTCACTATGTCATCATGTGAAAGAACCCCCCCTACCAACTCCTCTCGCCTTACAGCCTCCCTCAATGGGTGAGGGACATTTCTCACCACGATCTGGTTAGCCCCATTACAAAGACCCCGTGGCCAGCAGCACTCTAACATACACATAAGCACATTCACGCAAAGGACTACACCAGCATCCATCACAATGATAAATGTAAGGGAAACTAGAAATGACAAGCTGTCTCAGGTGGACTGATTCGGAGCAATTTGTATAATCTGGTCCGGAGCTGTTGACATAGGAACACTCAGAGGTTGTTTCTCATTGCCGTGTTTGTATAGAATTTCTCTGAGATACTCACTGTTTTGACTCATAGATTCACGACCTTCATGATGGTGCCAATAATTGGAAATGACACTCAGCTTAAGCTGCCTTACACATTTATTTTTCCTTTACAACATTCCCTGTTCTCTTTTCACTCAGATGACACAGCCAGGTCAGTAATGTTTGTCTCAAGAGAGCAGCGAAGAAGGGAGGGGGTTTGCATATTTTCGACAGCCAGCGTCCAGGATGTATGCCTTCCTAGGACGAAGGCCATAAGCAACACACATACACACACACACACACACACACCGTGCACTCTGAGGAGAAACCTAATGCAGCTCCCACCAGGGAGGGCCAGACCAGTTTATGAATATTGATAGAGTCTGGTTGCTGAGGACTGGGTCAGCAGTAGGCCTGCAATATTTAGTCTTCCAAACTGTCTGAAAGTGTTTAACACATCTCACTACAAAGATGGTGTGACGCAGCCGTCACCCACTGCTGCCAAACAGACACTTAGCTCAAGTGTTGTTGGTGCCCACTGGCAGAGGTTTGGCACATGCTTGAGCCAGCTTCAATGCAAGTGGAATTCTCTTTTGTTAGCTTGGCTGTGGCATCAGTTATAAATAAATCTTAGCCAGTACATCCCATTGTTTTATCCCCATTAGCGAACACTATAATAATGAAGTGCACTGGCGGCAAACTAGCGATATAATGGTAGTAAATCCTTACAGGCTGCGCAAATAACCCAACAGAATTAATGTTGGCTTCCTTCGACACAAGAATATTGGTACAAGGTTTCAAGGTTTTTTATTTGTCGTACGAACATAGCTACAGTGTAGTTATGACGATGAAAATCTTAGGTCACAGGCTCACTCCAACAGTGCAACACAATAAAACAGATAAACAGAAAAATATAGTGCAAGTAAATAGTAAAAAATAAATTAAAAAAGTTTTTTTTTTTAAAGTGAGATAGTGCAATAAGAGTCTATATGCAAGTTATTGGAATATGATATATATGATATATTATATAGCCAGATTAATGTTGTGGATGTTGTTTCAAAGTTCAGGTGTTTAACAGTCTTTACAGTACATGCATTGAATATAGGAAAAAACAGCACAAATAACTTGTATTTGTGTAGTACTGTGTTGACCAGATCTAACACAACCGCTGCTGCCCGCAACTTTCATTGAGGTGAGAAGTGTCCAGCATTTCACACTCAACTTTTTAAACATTATCTATCTGGGTACTTCTCTTGCACTGCATCTTGCAATACTTCACATTGGGACACTTTAACGCGCTTAAAAAAACACATGTACCGAAGTACACAAATTGAGACATAGCACAAGTTTCTATATGCTGCACGCTTGGCTTGATCACTTCTCGCGAGGAAAACATCAGACACACATAGAAATGCACACTCATGCTCCCTCTCTCCCTCACACTCGCAGACATACAGCCGTGTAATTTGACATAGGGCTCCTGTCAGACACGCAGTGTGCTTATTACACACACTTCAGAGCTCAAGGCAAGTAATGGAATTTAAAGATATCATTTTGTTAAGCCTTCTGACTGAGAATCAAAGAAAGCATACAGTATATCCAACAAACGCTGTTTAACTTTCTGAAGCCATAATATTTATTCTTTGCTCATATCTGATTCACGCTTTCTGATTCATACTTTCTAGACCGTGTCCTTGAAATTTCCATTAGATTGGGATTTACTTTTTTTTAGCATCTGGCCGCAGAACAAGCAAGCCCCCTGCTCAATGTTGCTATGTTCTTTCTGTTTCTAAACTCGTGGTGTTATTGATCTTGGCCTCCTGCTCAAACCCAATTCCGCTGGCCTGGCCCAGTGGACAGCGCAGCGTCACTTGGTCAGACCCTGAGGTTTACTCTGAGCCATGAATGGATCTCTATGTTGTTCTCATAGGTTCTAACCATTCCATCAGCATCTGGGTTTTGAGGCGCCCCTCTTGTCTGACTCCCTTAATCTGAGTTTCTTTGATTAGGTCGTCCTCTAATACCATCATTACTGTTGGACCAATTTAGGCCAGAAACACACACGTGCTAACACACTGGAACATTGATGGGGACATGAAACATATCGTATCCTTCATACCATGCAGTTCACACACTTTTCTGGCAGCTATTCAGACGGAATGGGATTTGGCCATTTTATGTTGAGTTGAAATTTGACACAAATGAACATGTGGCCTCCTCTTATGCCATTCCTATTGCTATAAGTCAAGCATAACCAGTTGTTTTACAGCAGGATTCTGGTTATAAATGTACCCAATTATACAAGAAAACAGTTATTGATGTATTTTGGGGGCTGCTGATACCTTTAAACTATTTATCTCATTCTTAATTAAAAAAAAACAAGTAAATGTGACCTATGCCCTTTAAGGCTCAAAGATGTATTTCTCTAATGTCTTTATAATTATGTCACTCATCCATTGTGGAGATGTGTGTGTGTGTGTGTGTGTGTGTGTGTGTGTGTGTGTGTGTGTGTGTGTGTGTGTGTGTGTGTGTGTGTGTGTGTGTGTGTGTGTGTGTGTGTGTGTGTGTGTGTGTGTGTGTGTGTGTGTGTGTGTGTGTGTGTGTGTGTGTGTGTGTGTGTGTGTGTGTGTGTGTGTGTGTGTGTGTGTGTGTGTGTGTGTGTGTGTGTGTGTGTGTGTGTGTGTGTGTGTGTGAGATAGTGGTTGCTGTAGAAGTGAAGACCAAACAGATGTCAGCTGGTGCAGTGTGTGTGTGACAGAGGGGCCTCAGAGATATACGCTGGACGTGCGGCATGATGCTCCTCTGCTGTTCAGTAATAGAGGTTAAATAAACTCTCCGGGACAAGAGTTGGCTTGCTGTGACATCGCTCAACTGTTGGAGGAGATTTCCTGGCACCGAGCTAGTGTTTCAAGGTGGCCTTGTTGATTTTTTTTCACTGGATTTGATTCTATCATCATGAAATAAAACACTGTAGTGGGAGGAAAATTTCAAGGCCACATTTAGAAGTGGGTCTATTGAAGAGCAAGGGAGAGATCATAGGAGAGTGTAATGGGGTTTTCTAATACGCTCTCTTTGCCCCATTTCATCCAGATGTTTTTACACCCGCATCTCATCCCCTGTCTTTCCACACGCCTTATATATTAGCTCACATGCCTGTTATCAGGGGAGGATGCCCATTGTGTGTCCAGATGAGTAATGGTCTGATGGGGAGAGAAGAAATGTGTCATGGTGAAAGAATGTAGACTTCAGACCTCTCCTGATGGTGGTATTTCTTTCTTCTCCTAACAACATCCGACCATGGAGAATGTGCATACGTGTCTAAGTGATGCGCAGTGTGCTAGCCACTCCACATTATTATGCTTGTAGGATGTAAGGTGTGGTGGTAGGTAAATGATCGGTATGTGTTCCCTTTTCTTGCAGCTGAGATATCAACATGGTTTGACAACCCCCGACCTGCAGCAGACACTACCCAACCTGAAGAACTTTCTGGAGCACGGTCTGCTGGTGCGATGGTAAGGATCAGAAACCTAACTCACTACACTAACCCTAACCTCAAATATTTGAGGTGTAAACGGCAACTTCAGCCAAAAAGATCATGTTAACAGGGATGTGCTTCAATTGAAGACAACAATAGGAATGTTTTTCATACAATCAATGTTTTTTGATACACATTACCTTCATCAAAACAGAACTAATTCTAATTGACCACATTAACAGACAGCATATAAGCACTTGCATCACACCATCACACAAACCCACAACATATATAACTCACATAAACTGAAAGACAAAAATAACAATACATAAACAACACAATGAGTGGCTAATACTTCAGATATAATTGCATTATATCTAAAGTATATAAAACGATAAGATAAAATGTACATTCCTGATATCATTCCTTTCCTAATTAGATATATGTTCAATACACTTCTTTGGAAACGTGGCTATACTTGTCCTATTGTGTTGAATGTTAAAGGGGACCTATCATGCAAAATGCACTTTTGTACGTCTTTTCTACATGAATATGTGTCCCCGGTGTTCCAGGGAACTCACCAAGTGTCAGAAAACACAACCCTCTCTATTTTCCTCCATACCCAAATTTCTAAAAAAGGGGCTGCAACGGATCTGATAAAAACTGATCCAGATTTGAACACTGTCCTGACGTCAGGACGGAGGCGCTACGGCTATTGGGCCAACTCTCCACCTATCAGGGAAATGTGGGGTTGGGCCACGGCCGGCCATTGCCGCTCGAAAGCGCTGGAGACGCTGTAGTACATATGCCAGGCCTGTAAGTGGCGCTGTAGTCTGCCACAAAAGCAGCGAAGAAGACTTCCCGCGCATGGTTGACATTGTTACCCTTCTGTTAATTCTCCGCTGTGGCTTTTTTTCTCCCTCCCCGAGGCAAGCGTTTGCTCCCGCTGCTTTAATTCAATGCAATCCCTCCCCGTCGAGGCAAGCACTGTAATTCTCTCCGGTTAGTCCACCAGCAGATGACAAACACCCACCTCTCCGCCTCTTCCAAGGAACGAGGGGACCGTGCGGCAGAGTTTCAGTTAGGTTTTCTTTCGCCGGTCAAGATGTCCGTTAAAGTTTAAATCTTCCGGACAAAATTAGAAAAGTGCCGGTCAAAGGTCTTCTTTGTTATTTATTGAGCTTTAAAACAAATGAATAACGACTCTATAGGCCTATAATAATATAATAAAACACGGAGGACGGAGATCTATTTTTCTCCCCCTCTTCTGACTTCATCAGAGCACGGCTCCCCTCTCCTGCAGGGGGGCGTGGTCAGCTGCAGCTCACAGAATCAGCCCCGTGCAAAAACAGTGCTAGAGAACAGCACATAGAGCGAAATGAGGCATGGCTAAAATGCATGATCTGTTTGGTATTTTGAAAACAGAAACGTATAAATATACCTTATATAGGTATGGCCCTACAATATATCATTTAAATATAGCATGATAGGTCCACTTTAAATAGACTGCAATTAAATAGCGCTTTGCCCGTCTATGTTCCCTGTGTCGTCAGAAGTAATTTGGGTTAGGTACTAGCCTAAGGACACAATACATTACATTTAATTTGGCTGACGCTTTTATCCAAAGCGACTTACAGTAAGTGCAAAAACCATAGAGAATCAAACTCCGAACAACAAGGAAAGTGCAAATATATTCACTTCAAGCAAGTCATACCATTGTAAGTGCTGGTGAATTAGTAACAAGGCCTAAATGAACTTTTAAGCGCTTTTTTTCTCCCTTTTTTTTCCTTTAAAGAATTTAATTGCCAAGGTACAATTGAAACAGATACGTTTTCAGTTACCATGTTGATGAAGATAGGACCTCTGACCTTCTGATTGGTGGACGAGTGCTCTACTTCCCGAGTCACAGACACATGCTGACACATTTTGAAGATTTGAAGCAGTTCAGACAAGCCGTGGTTGAAATTTAGTCCAAGGAGAAAAGAATCCACATCTTGAATCCTTTTCTGTTATAAACTGAAACATTAAATACTTCCATTAAAGCTCAACATAAAACCTACATACAGTATATCTACCGTGCCTATCACTCACATCCTGAGACACTGTCAGGTTCTTGGAAGCATTGGGAAGGATTTCTCTTGGCTTTTATCATCAGTCCGCCTGACAGTCAGCGTCAGGATTAACTCTCGGTCATTTGAGGGACGATTCTGTCCCCAGATGTTCCTACAGTAACGGTGTTGGGAGACGCACTCCATTCAACTTCACACGAGCCGTTAGAAACTCCTGTATCTTTGATTAACAAGCAACCCATAATACAACACTCAATGTAGGGTCCGGTGTTATATTATGTATAAATTGTTATAAGTGCAAATATATGGGTTATCCATGACTTTTTTTAATTTATTTTTTTATTTAACCTTTATTTAACCAGATAAAAACATTGAGATAAAATCTCATTTTCAATGCTGACCTGGCCAAGAAGGCAGCAACGTTACACATAACACAACACAAACATATAAAATACAGAGAACATAACTAAGAAAACAAAAGACGAAAAAGCAGTCACTACATTGTGCACATTAGGACAGTAAGAAAAGTACACTACTTGTTACTGCAAGAGCAGCTGGTGGTGAGGACTTCAGACAACTTCAATTAAAAACATGCTACAGAGACAAGTGCCATCAGTTTTAGGCTTGATTGAAGGTCATTCCAAGACCAAGGACCAAGAACTTGACTGTGTGAAGTTCCCTTTTTGTCTTTGTTTAATGAAAACATTCTTGGCAAACGCTGCCACTGCAAACGATTCAGCGTATTCAGACCTCGAATAATGCAAATAAACAAGTTCATTTTCATTTTGTCTAAAATTCAAGCAGCTTGGTTTGTTTGATTGCTTTGAAAAACCATCTTTATCTTGATGATTCATGAGGTTTGCAATGTGGTTCAGTTGAGACAATTGTCATCACAATACCTGGGTTAAAGTGTTCTCAAACGGGCTCCTCGGTGCAGGTCTAAAGTCGTGCAAAGCTAACAAAAAATAGAGCCAAGCCAGGCTAAGGTTTGTGGAAGACTGTAAGGATTGAACAAAAGAGGACTGGAGTAAGGTCAGAGTGAGTCCCATTTTCAGCTTTTCCCAAGACTTGGTCATCTATTGGTCAGGGATGCAAACTTGTCACCTTTCGGCGAAATTCGCCATTTTGAATCCAAAATAGGTCGTTTGTGTGATTCATGTAGATCTGCAATAAAAATATTTTTGGGGTATGGGGGGGTCTGGGACCCGGAGTAATCTGCGGCCGCGAGCTGTTATGTGCCATCATGACACGCATGGTGTTCTTTTTTTATATATTATAATGAAGCGCGAGCTGTGTGCTGGAGTCTTCCTGCCTGTCGGCTCTGCTCATGGATGTATAATAAGGCTCTGCTGCTCCGGGATGAGGGTCTAGCTTCAGCAGCTACATTACCTACGGTGCGTTCGTTAATATTAACTGTGTGGTCCGGAGTCACTGTGGCACAGACTGGACCGCTGGTGAACAGCTGTTAGAACGGGCCGTTCAGGTGTTCAGAGCAGAGCTCCCTGACCTGAGCGGCAGAGCGTGATGTGCACTGAAAAGTTTTTCTGTCGCAATATTATTTAAGGAATCGTTGAGTTAGCTAACTAGCATACATTGTCACTATCTGCTAACGTTAGCTTTAGCCTTCGTTTTCAAATAGTTTTTTTCATAGGCTATAAACGGAGGTGGTATAAGTATAGATCTTGTACTTGAGTAAAAGTAGAAGCTCTCAGATCTTGTACTAGAGTAAAAGTAGAAGTACTCAGATCTTGTACTTGAGTAAAAGTAGAAGCACTCAGATCTTGTACTAGAGTAAAAGTAGAAGTACTCAGATCTTGTACTTGAGTAAAAGTAGAAGTACTCAGGTGTAGGAATACTCTGTTACAGTAAAAGTACTGCATTCAAAATGTTCCTCAAGTAAAAGTACAAAAGTATTATCATCAAAATATAGTTAAAGTAGTGACAGTAAAAGTATTCATTGTGCAGATTGATCCATTTCAGAATAATATATATGATATGTTTTATAATGATTGATCATGAAAGTGTTCTCAAAGCTGGTAAAGGTGCAGCTAGTTAGAATGACTTTGTATACTGCAGGGTAGCTTGTGAATTTACTCCAGGTGGAACTAAAGTCTGATTTAACACTTGATTATATTTCACATCATTCATCCACATCTGTAAAGTAACTAAAGGTATTAAATACATGTAGTGGAGTAGAAGTACACCATTTACCTCTGAACTGTAGAGGAGTAGAAGAACAAAGTAGCAAAACATTGAAATACTTAAGTAAAGTACAAGTATCTCAAAATTGTACCCAAGTATAGTACTTGAGTTTATGAACTTAGTTACTTTACAGCAGTGGCTATAAAGATAGAAAGACTAAGCCTTGCACAGAGGCATGAAAATACATTTTCAAAATGCTCAACAGTGCTGCCAAAATTATAAACTGACTGCTACACAATTAAAAATAAATGCTTTTATATATTTCTATTAGATGTGACTCTTTGGCGTTTCTGTTATTATTAACTGCTTTGGTTGTTCTGACTGCTTCAATCCTCTGTTATTCCTCATTTTAAAGCCGATATTCCGTGGGGTCGGGGGGCTCGGATCCTTGTCACCTTTTTCATACCTGATGAGTTTGCATCCCTGATTGGTGTAAAGGTCAGCCGGAGTGGCCTAAATGCCACAGTGTCGCGCAATGACTGTAAAATTGGTGGAAGATTGGTGATAATCTTGTGTGTGGTTAGGATGGTATGTTTTATTCAGGCTGGAGTAGGGCAGATGTGTCTCTCTGAAGGATACATGAATTAAGGCACAAACAGTCCTCCTGCGAGAAAACTTGGTTCTTTCTGCACGGACAATGTTCCCCATCTCCAACGATTGGTTTCTCCAGTAGGAAAATGCTCCATGCCCCACAGCAGCTCACCAAGGTTTGGATGGAGGACCACCAGATCAAAGACCTGTCACGTAACACAGTCTCAAGTCACCA